ACAGACTGAGTTCTATAGTCTTGGATGGCAACTAGTCTAGACGAACATCTCTGAATTCGAAAAATACGGATTGGGGACCTTGTGACACACGGTGTAGCAGATCTCTGTCTTCGGCTCTTCAAAAAGTGCGGTTGATCCTGCAGAATGCTTTTACCACTGTAATTAAGTAATATGTGGAGATGTCTGGCTGTCGGTTATTGATTCATATGTGGGGGTGTCTGGTCCATTCATATATATATATATATATATATATATATATATATATATATATAATAATAATTCATCACGTCTAGATCTAGAAATCTCAACCGAGACGCTTTCGAACTCTATCGATACTGGAAAGCACCTGTTCGTATGTGGCATTAGTACTCTATTCTCGTCCTGATCTGGCTCTGATAGCAAGTGGAGATCAGGAGGAGTCAGATTCTTACTGGAGCCTTCCAAGGAACCGACCATTTTTCCAGCATCTTTAGTGATAGATCGTATGTACGAGTTCCACTTGAAGTTTCGCTTGAGTTGAAATCCCAACAGGCGTTCAAAGTACGGTCCTCTCTCTGAAGGGTCATCAGTTCATCAAAGGGCAAAAGGATCTGGACGGCCACCAGTATCGGAAGATATCGTCAATAAGGATCAGGAGACATTTGGGCGAAACCCCAGGAAGTCTGTAAGAAGAGCTTCTATGAAAACCCAAATTCTACAGTTTGGCATGTAGTATGGAAACAATTGCGAATGACACCCTATAAGTTTCAGTGCATTCAAGCCTTAAACACAAACGACAGGGAAGAGAGCAAGAACGTTTGTGTCGGTAGGCAAGAAAATATGCAACAGAAACTTAAAGATGATGTTTTCAAAAAAACGTCTTGTATGCAAGAGAAACTTAAAGATGATATGCAAGATTTACTGTATGCAAGAGAAACTTAAAGATGAGTTCAAAGAAACGTCTTGTATACAAGAGAGACATAAAGATGAGGAGTTCGAAAAACGTCTTGTTTCAAGACAACATTAAAGATGATAAGTTCGAAAAGCGTCTTGTATGCAAGAGAAACATAATGATGATGATCTCGGAAAACGTCTGGTATGCAAGAGAACTTAACGATGACATGCAAGATTTACTGTATGCAAGAGAAACTTAAAGATGAGGAGTTCAAAAAAGCGTCTTGTATGCAAGAGAAACTTAAAGATGATGAGTTCGAAAAACGTCTTGTATGCAAGACAAACATAAAGATGATGAGTTCAAAAAACGTCTTGTATGCAAGAGAAACATAAAGATTAGGAGTTCGTAAAACATCTTGTATGCAAGACAAACATAAAGATGATGAGTTCAAAAAATGTCTTTAGATTATGAGTTCGGAAAACGTCTTTTATACAAGAGAAACTTAAAGATGAGCAGTTCGAAAAACGTCTTGCTTTCAGGGATGAGAACAGATTTATATTCCTCTCTCTTCCTACAAGCCTAGAGCAACTTAAGCAGAGCATCACTTTGATGCTAGATAATGTTACGCAAGACATGCTACAGGGTATTTGGCAGGAGCTGGACAAGCGACTTGACGTTTTCGTGTCACAGGTGGTGCGCATATGGAACATTTAGGAGCCTGTGATAAAATCTACATCTCTTTGAAGCTTCAGTTCGAATTTTGATAAATAAATCTTTTCTTGATCAACATGAAACCTATTTAATTTTGTTTGTTTGGAACATGTAGTTACTCAGATATTCACATTTTAAACGATGTCATTTTGGCGGGGGATACCCTGTATTTTACAAACCCGACCTGGTGCAAGTTGTCTGAAACAGGACTTGCCCATTTCCTACTGATCAAGATGAAATATTTGTGGCGTTTGTTTAGATGTATTTCTTGATTCGGATTTGTAATGCATAGCCTATTTATCTCAGTCGGATTTTTTCTAAATACTCAATCATAATAAATGACATTCATCAAAGAACTCGGCGTCTGAATCAGTTATAAATAATTTACTATAGGAAATAAAAGGGCCAGATAATCCTTTAGGCTCGTATAAGCTAGAGCCTAGAGCACCTCAAGCAGTGATTTTAATTTTCCATATTTCCAAAGAGTTTCATAAACTGAAATGATATCAAAATGTCAAAAACGTATTTATTTACCTTTGCAGGAAGGAAAAGAATGTTTTAGCTTGCAACAAAAATAATGTTTTAGATAGTTCCATTGTGCTTCGAGTAGATAACAGGTTTAATTTAGTTTAGAATGTTTAATATTTGTCTATATTTCTGAAATGAGGTATTATATACACTATTTACATTATTCAGACTATTGTCCTCATCTTTGTTGCCATATTTATCACAACGTTTCGGCCTTTCAGTATCTGTCTATATTTCTGAGATGCGGTATTATGTACACTATTTACATTATTCAGACTATTGCCCTCATCTTTGTCGCCATATTTATCACAACGTTTCGGCCTTTCAGTATCTGTCTATTTTTCTAAGATGAGGTATTATGTACATTATTTACATTATTCAGACTATTGTCCTGATCTTTGTTGCCATATTTATCACAACATTTCGGCCTTTCAGTATCTGTCTATATTTCTGAGATGAGGTATTATGTACACTATTTACATTATTCGGACTATTGTTCCCATCTCATAATATAAATAGTGTAGAATGTGTGAATCTTGGAAATTTGTATAAAGCAGTGATTTTAATTTTCTAGATTTAATAACCTCTAAATAGTCTCATAAACTGAAATGATATCAATATAAGAAAAAACACTTATTTTGATTACTTTGTTGTTATAACTCTAGTTATAAAAATATGTTTTTTTTTACTACGGTTGTGTTGAAATATTTGCTAAATTGATTTGTAAGTAATAGTAAATTATTGAAGGTATTTCTTAAGGAATATTTTATTGACTAAGATAGCTTATTTAAAGAATTTGCAATAAGTTTCCTTCTTAGCTTTTTTTCTGTGTAATGTTGAACTTTAACATCTTGATTATACCATTATTTTCTCTTTGTGTTACATATATTACGTATGTTAGTTTTTGCCACTGTCTAAATTCTTAGTGATGTGGTTTGTTATTTGGTACAGTTTTTGTTTGCGATTTCGCAGTCTGGTCATATCGAGATTTTCATATGAATGGCATGTTTGCCGCCAAACCCATTCACTTTCACTTTCATTATTTAAATTATTCGGACTGTTATCCTCATCTTCATTGCCATATTTGCAACGTTTCGGCCATTGTACACCCCGGCCTTCTTCATGTGATTGAAATTTCAAACTGAACACTTTATTTCACAAACAGGGTAGATTCTTCTAGTTCCACGTGCCATGCCTCTTCCGGATGTCTCAGTTATTTCTCTTGGCTCAACTCTCCAAGTTCTGCTTCACCACTGCTGTGGCCTGGTACTGAACTCACAACTCTTTGGATCAAGTCGCAGGATCTAACCAACGCCTTTATCCACTATGCCATGTGTCCTTAAGGACGAATTAAAGGGTTCGAATCGAAATTCAAGTAGCGCTGGCTGTCCTAAGGAATATTGAATGGAAATGGTTCATACTACCTTTACCATTAGAGACGATGAAAACAGATACAACAGTTTGATCCCTACCCAAATACTAGAGAATAAAGGAAGCATAAATCGAGTAGCAGTGGCCGTTCGATCAATGTATGCCATATGTTTTCACGTAAATAAATATTGACATTAGTCGACCGTAGTCAATCGGCACAATGCGAATGATCCTTTCCTTACCTACATAGTATGTGCTTCGTCAGGGCTACATCAGTTATGTGCCATGCGTGATATACTCTTAGGCGATAATGTATCCTTCGAGGTAGATCAAAGGCTATAGAACCCGGTCTGTCCTATTATTTACCCATAGATGGAGGAGAAGAAGAGGATTCATACCTTTCCTAAGGCTATTAGCACATAAATGAATGTAATGGATTCCACTGGAATTCGAACTCGTCTCTCTGATTCCTCAATAGTTTTGATTCTCCTTGAGTATTCTCTCTGACCGGTTGCCATTCAATTCTATAGAACCAAGGTTGTCTTGTGATTTAAAGCTGGGGGAGAAGGACTGGATTCATACGTTTATAAATGTTATTAGCACCTGTGTGAATGGGATGAACTCATCTGGAATTCGAACTCAGCTGATCCGATTCCCTAATCCGAGCAGCAATCCATTACTCCGCTGTGCCTACCAAAACCATTCACAGTACGGTACTTCAGACAATTAGTGCCAGGAAAAGGAGAGTCAAGCTGACTTTCTATGCTTCTGCATTGTTTTAATCCCTCACCAACTCACAACAGTAAGACTTTCTCAGTAGCTTGACAGAGGACGAAATACTGCTAAATGCCTTATTCTTCTTTTATGCATCTTGTCTCCAATCATGGCTGTCCTCAACTTCCTACCTTTTGTAGCTATAATCAATGTTGTTTTTACAATACCTCTGAGTCCATGCCCTGACATTATTCCTTTGAGGAACTGTTCACCAGATTTTATATCCATAATTGCTTCTAAATCAGAAAAGAAATAACCTGGCACATTCTTTTCTGGTTGCTTTTGCTTGTTCTTCTCAAGTCACTTTACCAACCCGGCAATGATTTATTTTATCCCAAACTCATTGTCCATCAAAATTCAGCTTCTCATTTCAAACTCAGATAGAATGCAACCTCTACTATTAAAATTCACTACAAGCTTACAGACTTTCTCTAGACTAGTTGGTTCCGTAGACTAGTGTCGTATTTTCCGCGAATAAGATCCATCTGACTAAAACTCCTAAAGACGTGGCACTGTTAATCAGGCAACATACCGTTAATCTGTCATGTCAATATTGGAGATACGAGTCTCTGGCCCAGATGTGTAGTAATCAATGCAGTGTCATCAATAAGTTTCTACCTGTTTAATGGAACAGCAGAAACAGCGCATTGGCAGATGAAGATCCGTCTTCGGTTCACATGAAAAGATTTATGTTTATTTAAACAATATTCGGATTATTAAGACTTCAAAAGTTCGCAGGCGGATGCAGCAGTCAAAACAAGACAAGGAGAAGCAGTGGTCAAAACGGGACAAGCAGCAGCGGTCAAGAGATGACAATCAGCAGCAACAAGCAAAACTTAATAAGCGGCAGTATCAATCCAAACGTAACAAGCAGCAGCAACGGTCAAAACGTAACAAGAAGCAGCAATCAAAATGTAGCAAACGCCAGCAGCGGTCAAAAGAAGACAAGCAGCTGTCAAAACGTGACAAGCAGCAGCAGCTGTCAATACTTGACAAGCAACAGCAGTGGTCAAAATGTAACAAGCAACGGTCAAAACGAGACAAGCAGCATCAATGAAACGCAACAAGCAAACAAGCAGCAGTAGCAATCAAAACGTAACAAGCAGCAGCAGTGCTCAAAACGTAACAAGCAGCAGCAGCAATCAAAACGCAACAAGCAGCAGCAATCAAAACGTAACAAGAAGCAGCAGTAATCAAAACGTAACAAGCAGCAGCAGCAGCGCTCAAAACGTAACAAACAGCAGCAGCAAAACGTAACAAGCAACAGCAACAATCAAAACGTAACAAGCAGCAGCAGCGATCAAAACGTAAGAAACAGCAGCAGCAATCAAAACGTGACAAGCAACAGCAGCATTCAAAATGTAACAAGCAGCTGCAGCGGTCAAAACGAAACAAATTGCAGCAGCGGCCAAAACGTGACAAGCAACAGCAGAGGTCAAAATTTGTCAAGCAGCAGTAGCTTTCAAAACGTGACAAGCAGAAATTGCAATGAAGACGTGACAAACAGCAGCAATCAAAACGTGACAATCAGCTGCAGCCGTCAAACGTAACAAGCAGCAGCAGCAGCCGTTAAAACGCGACAAGAAGCAGCAATCCAATTGAAACAAGCAGCAGCAGCTGTCAAAACGTTACAAACAGCAGCAGTCAAAATATGAAATTGTGAGTTCAATCCCTAGGCGGGGCAGTGTTTACTTGAACTTAATGGAAACGGGCGAGCAATAATTGAGTAGTACTAAAATATGTACTAGACAAGATATCACTTGACATGCTGACTATAACGAAAAGAGAAATCTACCCACGTAGATTAAACAAAGTTCAGTTAAGAAATTTTGTGTAGATTTACACCTGATGAAGGCTGAAGGGTACAGTAGCCGAAACGTTGTAATAACAACAAAGACGAGGTTAATAGTCCGAATATAAACAGTGTAAAATATAATAATTTCTCTTCCCATAAATTCATAATTATCTATAAGTTTACCATTCATGCTTAGAATATTGCTGCCATATATCGGAACTCCTTGATAAGATCCAAAGAAGTTCTTCAGGACTATTATTGGTTCATATCTGGCGTCACGGCTTCAGTCACTTGTCCACCGCTGTAAGATTGCCTCTCAGTGCCTTTCTTATGAATACTTTCATTGTAATTGTTCGGAGGAACTCTCCACTGTGGTACCTAGAGTGTATGAATTTAAGCGCTATACTAAACTGGCCGCGAGATCATTTCACTTCACAGTTGAGCTGGCTAGACGTAGCCGTAAGTTCTGTGCTGACAGTTTCTTATCTCGCATTTCTTGCTTGTGGAACTCTCTTCGACTCCATGTTTTCCAGCCAACTTTAATCTGCAAAAATTTAAATGCAATACCATTCGCTATCTTCTGCCCTCCTGATTATTCTTGTCTCTTTCTAATCATCACAAGTGTGCTGTTCCTAATTCCTCAAACATTGTAACCCCTTGCGAGTCTGTGGCTGTACTGCGTTGCTCAGGGTAAAACCGATTAAAAAAATATTTTTCATTCGACGATTGTCTTCTCGGATCATTACTAGTCCATAAGCCAAGTCAGGATTCACTTGCCCGAAGAATACAAGATTTGTGAACAGTTTCGTGTTTCTTTTCGATGTTAAAGTCTTAGATGATGAGTTGTTACAAAATTCCAATGATGGATGTAAATCTGACCATGGCAGGCGCAATTGTTATGAGACCATAGCCCTAATTCTTGCAACACGAGTTTGGTGATGATACATTAGCACATAAGTGTAGCTCTATTTTTATTATTGGTTTATCAGTCGTAATGAAGGTTTTACTGTCTGCCTTGAGGGTTGGTAGCGTTCTACTTGAATTTCAAATCAAAATTTCCTATTTGCTTGGTGTATGGAATTTCAGCCAATTTGTTTTTTCACTGAGAATTTTCTGACATTTTACTTTTTAGATTAACCCTTTAGGGGAAGATTTCATTTATAAACGCCATGATTTGTCTATTCCTCCGGGCACATGAAGTATTTATACGTCATTCTTTTAGAAGGCCAATCACAGAGCTATGTTTAGTAAGCTCATCTTAAGAACCAATTCGCTAACCATCCAAATTTGTTCTGTTTGGATGCCCTTCTAATACAGGGCGTGATAGAAATATAACCCATATTTTGAAGGCTTGGCAAAAAAAATACAAGTTAACTGCAGTTAAAAGAATCATTGCACTGTTGCTTAAACAAAGGGTTATATTTTTTATTCATTTTGTTTTAAAAATGAAAAAAGAAAAGATGTCCATTCTTCAACACACATTGTTGTAGAAGTTTTCTAAAGTTTTCCGTAACCCACTATGTTCGCGCGTTCCTAGGTCTTCAAGGTTGCTTTCATTTAAACGCTGAACCTCTAGGACTAAAATGTTCATACCCACATCAGTATCGATTTGTCATCCGGAACATCATCATCATCATCATTCCGACGTAATATGAAATGAGCACGAAAAGATCCCTGTGTTGCAATTACAGGTTCTTTCTTTTTATATGCCGTCTCCTTTCAGGACGTAGGCGATTATGGCCCCCCACTTCCCCCTATCTCTTGTAGCTCTCAATGTTTTGTCCCTTGGCTACTTCCCACAGGTCATGTTCTGTCGTCCACTTGCTTAACCGCGCTAAGTATGTTGTTTTCCCTTGACTTTCTTTCCCTCTATTCGACGTAGGGGTATCAGATTCTCCAAACTGTCTTTTCTCATTAGGTGTCCCATAAATTTCATCTTCCTCTTCCTGATGTTAAGTATAAGTTTGTATGTTCTCTAAAACCCCATCTTTGCTTACAAGCCCGGTCCATGGTATCCTCAGCGTCCTTCTGTATAACCATACCTCTGTTGCTACGAATCTCTTCTTCATCTTTCAGGAGACTGTCCAACATTCGCTGCCGTAAAAGAGGACAGATGTCACGTAGCCGCTTAGTACTGTTTTCTTTGTTACCAAAGAAATCCTCCTGTCTCGTAATATTCTGCCCAGATTTTGGAATGCGTCTTTGGCCATCCCAATGCGTCTTCAGATCTCAGCGTCGCACTTGTCGTCTTCTGTCAAAACACTTCATAGATATTTAAATTACAGATTCACTAGTCTTTACTTTTAAACTGTAAACGCACAACAAGCACAGATTGTAGCAATGACTAATAACTGACAGGCACAGTCGTTAGGACCATTCTGACCATGAGACCTTGTTTCGAATCTCACCATGGTCGATTTGTAAGGAAGAAGATTTTCTGATGAAAACCATACCACATGAGTGTAATTGGGTAGATCGTACCCATCAAAGCCGATGCTCAAATTGCTGATCATGTTAGATAACACTCTCCTTCCCGGCAAATGTAACTAAGGTCGTTTCAGCATAGTTGCAGTATAAAACACACGTGGGCTCTGTGGGTGTTCAACAAACAGAAATGCAGATTATATGGCAGCCTTCTAAAATTGTACATTTATTATTCAAATTTGGAATAACCAATCTAAAAATCAGATTAATCAAACACAGAATACAATGAGGGTTCTGAATAGGTAAAGAAAAGACCTCTGTAAGGTTTGCGTGACTCTGGTTAATATATATATATATATATATATATATATATATATATATATATATATATACTATATACTAAGATATATGCCTAATATATATATATATATATATATTTAGGGCTAATATATATATATATATATATATATATAGGGTTACTCGTTATCTTTCTCTCTTATCAGATAAGAGAGGAAGATAACTCTGTAATAGACAAGGGTTAAGATTGTAGTTACTTGGAAACATCTTCTTGGGACTATTCCAAAGAGCAGTGGTTCGCGAGAAGAAGCTGCCTGAAACCTGTTCTTTTTATTGTCCTTTCTCCTAATTAAAGTCTTCTCATTCTCTTTCACTCCCAGTAACCCCTTGTGTCTTAGTGGCATTATCGCCATCTTCTGTCTTCCTGAAACCTTTTCTTTTATTGTCCTTTCTCCTAATTAAAGTCTTCTCATTCTCTTTCACTCCCAGTAACCCCTTGTGTCTTAGTGGCATTATCGCCATCTTCTGTCTTCCTGAAACGTCTTCTTTTATTGTCCTTTCTCCTCACTAAAGTCTTCTCATTCTCTTTCACTCCCAGTAACCCCTTGCGTCTTAGTGGTATTATCGCCATCTTCTGTCTACCTGAAACCTGTTCTTTAATTGTCCTTTCTCCTCACTAAACTCTTCTCATTCATTTTCACTCCTAGTAACCCAATCAGTCTTAGTGGCATTATCGCCTTCCTTAGAGAGAAAAGATTAAAAACATTGATTTTTTTCTGCTTATAGTATTATTAGTAATATTATGTTACATTTTAATTACACGTAGCATTTTCAAACTTATTAATATTTCACTAGCATTTCATGTTTTAATTGTTTTCCTTATATCAAAACTAGGGCAAAAGTCCGAATAAATGAATCTCTGTAAATCCTTCCTTTTCAGTTATTAAGTTTAAAAAACTACAGTAGATGTCGCTGTGTTGCCATGTAGACTAGGTTACATTTGCCATTCGTGTACATTTGTGGCTAGTCTGTCTTCAACGTTTAACGTCTGTAGTCGTGAGATAACTGAGTATATATCGTGAGCAGGCAGATATGATATTTTACATACAGCTGCGCAAATGGTAATGGACGCGAGGCTGTAGAGCTGTATCAGATTGTGATACTAGACCGAAGGCAGCCGAATCATCCAACGTTTGCTGCTGTTTTTGGTCGCGTTACTGAATCAGGATCCGTGGCACTATGGATCAAGGAAGACGAGATCCGCTTGTACGCCTGGCCCCGAAGAATACATTCGGCAGGCTGTCGGAGATAATCTTGGTGTCAGCACACCTCAAGTGGCCCTAACATTTCATACATCTCATAGAACCGCATTGACTGTACTTCAAGATCAGCTCCTGTATTCGTATTATTTACAACGTTTGAAGGGTCTTTCGCCCTGTGATAAGTGACAACGGGAGTAACTTTTGCTGATGATTTATGGCACATACAGCCGACCTGTTGTTTGTCTCTTCAGTCTTATTTACGGATCCGACACCTTTTCGTAGAAATGGATAACAAATTTACACAGCCAATATATGTGGGTGGGTCGTTTTTCCAATGGTACAACACAGGCTTTTGACCAGCATCAGTTACGATTAATGTTTAGCCCGAAATTGTAGGTGACTGTCTGGTAGGTCCATATGATCTCCCAGCATGTCTTACAGGAGCTGTTTGCAGAGGCGTTATTTCGAACACACTTTCAGACGTGCTAGAGGATGTATACCTGCTAATACGAAGATGATTCATGTATAATGGGTCTCCAGCACATTTTAGTCACATTGTTTGCAATATACTGGCCAATAGCTCTCATGAAAAATAGATAAAGAAACGATTCCATGGCCTGCACGTTCCCCTGACCTCGATTTTTTGGATTTATAACTGGGGGGAGGGGCACAGAAAAAAGTTGGTTTATGCAGTAGACATTAATAATGCAGAGACATTTTATCAGCCATTCGAAACCGGGCGGGAGTATTTGAAAGTGTCCGCCAGTCAATGATCCGACGGGTGCATGCGCGTGTAGAAGAAAGCAGAGCAGATTTTGAACATTTGTTATGAGTTGCTGTGATGAGGTACATACGGACATTTTATTTTGTTTTGCTTTCAGGAAACCTTAAACACACACACACCAAACACACACACACACACACACACACACACACACACACACACACACACACATATATATATATATATATATATATATAAATGGTGGTATGGTGGTACTCGCTTAGAAAAACCTTGGGTATGTTGGTTTAGTAGAACAAACTAGTAAACTTAACTACGTAAAGTGCTCAATACACGAAGCAACTAATATAAGCCCTAAGCAACTAATATAAACCTAAAGAGTTAGGGAAACCTACCTAGTTTTCCTCTTTGAAATCTATGTTAAGGTGAAACCTAGGTAAGTTTTTCAAAAAATTTTTACACATTATATATATATATATATATATATATATATATATATGTATGTATGTATTTTATTTATTAATGTAATAGTTGCCAATGCGTTTCGTCCAATGTGAACTTTTTCAAGGCAAAAAAAGAAATGAATTTATTAAAAGCAAATAACTATTAATAACAAAACAAAATGTCCTTGGCAACTGGAAGAATTTAGAAAACGCTATTATATTAATATTCTAAATTCTTCCAGTTGCTAAGGACGTTTTTTTTTATTTTATTTTATTTTTTTTTTTTTTTTTGTTATTATTGGTTACTTTGTTTTAATAAATTCATTTCGTTTCTGCCTTCAAAAAGTCCACATTGGACGAAACGCGTCGGCAACTATTACATTTCCTTATTGTCTTTTAAATTTATAAATATTGTCTTTTTCTACAAGTTAACTCTGAGAAATTTTTCATATATATATATATATATATATATATATATATATTTCTCATGTTTATATATATATAAGCAAACAAGAAGACAAACCAAATCGCAATGCCGCCCATAATATCAAGAATATCAGGGGTAAATACCGCTCCCCATAAAACAACAAAAACCGCGATAGTTTTTTTGGGGTTTTTTTTTTTGTCATCGGATATGATAATGTAATTTGAATTATAGCAAACTCCTATCCTCACAGATCCCAAGGCATCTTTCTTAAATTGTTTTGTCTTTCAATATAACATAAAGAAGCCAAAAGCTGCAGACGGTTTTCGGCGAATCGCGTCGTTTATAGGTTTTCCATTGTTATATTATTATACATCCTTCAAATGCACGTATAAAACTTATATTAGGTATTAAGCTTATATAAGTTGACATAGAGAGTGGTGAGAAATAGTGTGAGAGACATTGTCGAGTTATATATATATATATATATATATATATATATATATATATCAGAATACACAGAGGTATGAGAATTAATATTTTATTTTATAATAGTTACAACGAAATAGTTTTTAATTTCATAAATAATTAAAAACCAAATTATTCAAATTAATAGATTTATTTCAGTGTCATAAATTCTTTTTAGGGCGTATTTTTTGTCTGCCAATCGGAAGGAAAGAATTAATTGCTTCGTCTGGAACGAGTGAGATGAAGTGAAAAACAAGAAACGAGAAGAAAAATCATTTAAATATTTCACAGAAAAAAAACCCGCATCTGAGTCGATGCGATGAATCACATTCGAAAGGAAGGTCACTATTCATTAACTATCAACAATTAAGCCGTAACAATTCATAGTTGTCATCAGCAGATGTGGAAATCCCAATCATCGTAACTGATATTGATCTTCGAATCTCTTTCTTATCATTCTTTCCTTCTTCACTTCCTTCCTAGCTTCGTTCATTCATTCATTCATCCTTTCCTTCGATATTTCATTTCGTCTTTTCTATTCGCGTCCTTTCTTTTCTTCCTTCTTTTCTTCTTTCATACATTCCCTTAGTGCTTTCCTTCTTTCTTTCTTTCATGCTTTCCTACTTTCATTTTTAATACCTTTCTTTCCTTCCTTCCTTCTTTTCGAACTCCATTCGTTCCTTGCTTCATTCATTCATTCATTCCATTCTCCCTTCCTTTTTTCCTTCATTCGTTATTTCCTTTGTTTCTTTATTACTTCCAACTTTTTTTCTACTCTATCTTCCTTCTTTCACCGTTTATTCTTCCCTTCATTCCAAACTTTCTTTTTCTTTCAATTCTTACTTTCTTCTTTTAAGTATTCCTTCCTTCTTTCATTTCTTTATTCCTTCTTTTCTCCTTTTTTTTCCTACCTACATTCTTACTTAAATTCTTTCTTTTTTCCGTCTTTCTTTATCTCTTTCTTTCTTTCTTTCTCCTTTCCTTCCTTCTTTTCTTCCTTTCTTCCTAAATCCATTTGTTCCCTCCTCCATTCATTCATTCATTCCGTCTTTATTTCTTTCATTCCTTATTTCCTTCTTTCGTTATTTCCTTTGTTTATTCTTTCCTTCAATCCGTTTTTTCACTACGTTTCTTCTTTTTTCCTTCCTTCGTTTATTCTTCCCTTTTCTCCAAGCTTCCTTTTCACTTCTTTCTTTCATCTGTCGTGAATTCCTTCTTGCTTTCATTCATTTATTACTTCTTTGCTTCTTTTTTTCCTAACTTCCTTCCTTCTTACCTTCCTTCCTTCCTTACTTTCATCCTTTCACACCTTTCTTATTTCTTTCTCTTTTTCCTTATTTCTTTCCTTTCTTCTTTCTTTTACGCTTTCTTATTTTCATTCTTTAATACCTTTCTTTCCTTGCTTCCTTCTTTTCAAACTCCATTCGTTTCTTGCTTCATTCATTCATTCCTTCATTCCATTCTCCCTTCCTTTTTTCTTCATTCGTTATTTCCTTTCTTTCTTCATTACTTCCATCTTTTTTCTACTATATCTTCCTTCTTTTTTCTTTCACCGTTTATTCTTCCCTTCATTCCAAACTTCCTTTTTCTTTCAATTCTTACTTTCTTCTTTTAAGTATTCCTTCCTTCTTTAATTTCTTTATTCCTTCTTTTCTTCTTTCTTTTCTACCTTCCTTCTTACTTAAATTCTTTCTTTCCTTCCATATTTCTTTCGTTCTTTCTTTCTTCCTACTTTCCTTCCTTCTTTTCTTCCTTTCTTACTAAATCCATTTATTCCCTGCTTCATTCGTTCATCCATTCATTCCGCCTTTCTTTCCTTCATTCGTTATTTCCTTTGTTTCTTCTTTCCTTCCATCTTTTTTTCCTTCGTTTCTTCTTCCTTTTTCTCCAAGTTTCCTTTTTCATTTCTTTCTTTCATCTGTCGTGAACTCCTTCATGTTTCATGCATTTATTACTTCTTTTTACCTAACTTTTTTCCTTCTAACATTTCTTCTTTCCTTCCTTACTTCCTTCCTTCTTTCTTTTTTCTTCCTTTTTCTTCTTTTCTTCTTTCCTTGCATCCTTTTCCTTACCTTCCATCTTTTTCTTCCTTTTTCTTCTTCTCTTCTTTCCTTGCATCTTTTTCCTTACCTTCCATCTTTTTCTTCCTTTTTCTTCGTCTCTTCTTTCCTTGCATCCTTTTCCTTACCTTCCATTTTTTTCTTCCTTTTTCTTCGTCTCTTCTTTGCTTGCATCATTTTCCTTACCTTCCATCTTTTTCTTCCTTTTTCGTCTTCTGTTCTTTCCTTGCATCCATTTCCTTACCTACCATCTTTTTCTACCTTTTTCTTCTTCTCTTCTTTCCTTGCATTCTCTTTTTCCTTACCTTCCATTTTTCTTCCTTTTCTTCTTCTCTTCTTTCCTTGCATCATTTTCCTTACCTTCCATCTTTTTCTTCCTTTTTCTTCTTCACTTCTTTCCTTGCATCCTTTTCCTTACCTTCCATCTTTTTCTTCCTTTTTCTTCGTCTCTTCTTTCCTTGCATCATTTTCCTTACCTTCCATCGTTTTCTTCCTTTTTCTTCTTCTCTTCTTTCCTTGCATCCTTTTCCTTACCTTCCATCTTTTTCTTAATTTTTCTTCGTCTCTTCTTTCCTTGCATCATTTTCCTTGCCTTCCATCTTTTTCTTCCTTTTTCTTCTTCTCTTCTTTCCTTGCATCATTTTCCTTACCTTCCATTTTTTCTTCCTATTTCTTCTTCTCTTCTTTCCTTGCATCCTTTTCTTTACCTTCCATTTTTTTCTTCCTTTTTCTTCTTCTCTTCATTCCTTGCATCCTTTTCCTTACCTTCCATCTTTTTCTTCCTTTTTATTCTTCTCTTCTTTCCTTGCATCCTTTTTCTTCCATCTTTTCTTCCTTTTTTTCTTCTTCTCTTCTTTCCTTGCATCCTCTTCCTTACCTTCCATCTTTTTCTTCCTTTTATTTCGTCTCTTCTTTCCTTGCATCATTTTCCTTACCTTCCATCTTTTCTTCCTTTTTTCTTCTTCTCTTCTTTCCTTGCATCCTTTTCCTTACCTTCCATTTTTTCTTCCTTTTCTTCTTCTCTTCTTTCCTTGCATTCTTTTTTACCTTCCATCTTTTTTCTTCCTTTTTATTCTTCTCTTCTTTCCTTGCATCCTTTTCCTTACCTTCCATCTTTTCTTCCTTTTTTTCTTTCTTCTTTCCTTGCATCCTTTTCCTTTCCTTTTTTTTTTTCTTCCTTTTTCTTCTTCTCTTCTTTCCTTGCATCCTTTTCCTTACCTTCCATCTTTTTTCTTCCTTTTCTTCTTCTCTTCTTTCCTTGCATCCTTTTCTTACCTTCCATCTTTTTCTTCTTTTTTCTTCGTCTCTTCTTTCCTTGCATCATTTTCCTTACCTTCCATCTTTTTCTTCCTTTTTCTTCTTCTCTTCTTTCCTTGCATTCATTTTCCTTACCTTCCATCTTTTTCTTCATTTTCTTCGTCTCTTCTTTCCTTGCATCAATTTCCTTACCTTCCATCTTTTTCTTCCTTTTCTTCTTCTCTTCTTTCCTTGCATTCCTTTTCCTTACCTTCCATCTTTTTCTTCCTTTTTCTTCTTCTTTTTCCTTGCATCTTTTCTTCCATCTTTTTCTTCCTTTTTCTTCTTCTCTTCTTTCCTTGCATCATTTTCCTTACCTTCCATCTTTTTCTTCCTTTTTCTTCTTCTCTTCTTTCCTTGCATCCTTTTCCTTAACTTCCATCTTTTTCTTCCTTTTTCTTCTTCTCTTCTTTCCTTGCATCCTTTTCCTTACCTTCCATCTTTTTCTTCATTTTCTTCGTCTCTTCTTTCCTTGCATCATTTTCCTTACCTTCCATCTTTTTCTTCCTTTTTCTTCTTCTCTTCTTTCCTTGCATTCATTTTCCTTACCTTCCATCTTTTTCTTCATTTTCTTCGTCTCTTCTTTCCTTGCATCAATTTCCTTACCTTCCATCTTTTTCTTCCTTTTTCTTCTTCTATTCTTTCCTTGCATTCATTTTCCTTACCTTCCATCTTTTTCTTCCTTTTTCTTCTTCTCCTCTTCTTTCCTAGCATCATTTTCCTTGCCTTCCATCTTTTTCTTCCTTTTTCTTCTTCTCTTCTTTCCTTGCATTCTTTTCCTTACCTTCCATCTTTTTCTTCCTTTTTCTTCTTCTCTTCTTTCCTTGCATCCTTTTCCTTACCTTCCATCTTTTTCTTCCTTTTTCTTCTTCTCTTCTTTCCTTGCATCCTTTTCCTTACCTTCCATCTTTTTTCTTCCTTTTCTTCTTCTCTTCTTTCCTTGCATCCTTTTCCTTACCTTCCATCTTTTTCTTCCTTTTTCTTCTTCTCTTCTTTCCTTGCATCCTTTTCCTTACCTTCCATTTTTTCTTCCTTTTTTTCTTCTCTTCTTTCCTTGCATCTATTTCCTTACCTTCCATCTTTTTCTTCCTTTTTCTTCTTCTCTTCTTTCCTTGCATTCATTTTCCTTACCTTCCATCTTTTTCTTCATTTTCTTCTTCTCTTCTTTCCTTGCATCAATTTCCTTACCTTCCATCTTTTCTTCCTTTTTTCTTCTTCTCTTCTTTCCTTGCATTCATTTTCCTTACCTTCCATCTTTTTCTTCCTTTTTTTCTTCTCCTCTTCTTTCCTAGCATCTTTTTTCCTTACCTTCCATCTTTTTCTTCCTTTTTCTTCTTCTCTTCTTTCCTTCATCATTTTCCTTACCTTCCATCTTTTTTCTTCCTTTTTCTTCTTCACTTCTTTCTTTTTTCATCCTTTTTTCTTCCATCTTTTTCTTCCTTTTTCTTCGTCTCTTCTTTCCTTGCATCCTTTTTCCACCTTCCATTTTTCTTCATTTTTTCTTCTTCTCTTCTTTCCTTGCATCATTTTCCTTACCTTCCATCTTTCTTTCCTTTTCTTCTTCTCTTCTTTCCTTGCATCCTTTTCCTTACCTTCCATCTTTTTTTCTTCATTTTTCTTCGTCTCTTTTTCCTTTCATTTTTCTTCCATCTTTTTCTTCCTTTTTCTTTTCTCTTCTTTCCTTCCATTCTTTTCTTACCTTCCATCTTTTTCTTTTTTCTTCTTCTCTTCTTTCCAGATCTTTTCCTTACCTTCCATTTTTTTCTTCCTTTTCTTCTTCTCTTCTTTCCTTGCATCTTTTTCCTTACCTTCCATCTTTTTTCTTTCTTTTTCTTCTTCTCTTCTTTCCTTCCCTTTTCTTTACCTTCATTTTTTCTTCCTTTTCTTCTTCTCTTCTTTCCTTTGCATCCTTTTCCTTACCTTCCATCTTTTTCTTCCTTTTTTATTCTTCTCTTCTTTCCTTGCATCCTTTTTGCTTACCTTCCATCTTTTTCTTCCTTTTATTCTTCTCTTCTTTCCTTGCATCCTTTTTCCTTACCTTCCATCTTTTTCTTCCTTTTCTTCGTCTCTTCTTTCCTTGCATCATTTTCCTTACCTTCCATCTTTTTCTTCCTTTTTCTTCTTCTCTTCTTTCCTTGCATCATTTTCCTTACCTTCCATCTTTTCTTCTTTTTCTTCTTCTCTTCTTTCCTTGCATCCTTTTCCTTACCTTCCATTTTTTTTTCCTTTTTTCTTCTCTTCTTTCCTTCCATTCTTTCTTTCCTTCCATCTTTTTCTTCCTTTTTCTTTTTATTCTTCTTCTTCCCTTGCATCCTTTTCCTTACCTTCCATCTTTTTCTTCCTTTTTTCTTCTTCTCTTCTTTCCTTGCATCCTTTTCCTTACCTTCCATCTTTTTTCCTTTTTCTTCTTCTCTTCTTTCCTTGCATCATTTTCCTTACCTTCCATCTTTTTTCTTCCTTTTCTTCTTCTCTTCTTTCCTTGCATCCTTTTCCCCTTCCATCTTTTTCTTCCTTTTTTCTTCTTCTCTTCTTTCCTTGCATCATTTTCTTTACCTTCCATCTTTTTTCCTTTTTCTTCTTCTCTTTTTTCCTTGCATCCTTTTCCTTACCTTCCATCTTTTTCTTCCTTTTTTTCTTCTCTTTTTTCCTTGCATCCTTTTCCTTACCTTCCATCTTTTTCTTCCTTTTCTTCTTCTCTTCTTTCCTTGCATCCTTTTCCTTACCTTCCATCTTTTTTCCTTTTTCTTCTTCTTTCTTTCCTTGCATCATTTTCCTTACCTTCCATCTTTTTTCTTCCTTTTTCTTCTTCTCTTCTTTCCTTGCATCATTTTCCTTACCTTCCTTTTTCTTTT